GGGTTACAGCAAGTAATACCAACATACAAAAACTTCAACGATTCCAATCGAAAGTACTGCGCCAGATCTGCAATTCCCCTTGGTACATTACGAACCACAGATTACACCACGATTTACAGTTACCAACAGTTAGCGAAGCAATATCTGCCGTAAACACTGTATACAAGACCAGACTATCCTGCCATCCAAATCCGCTTGCCCCGGACTTGCTCAACATTTCACACGAAAGAAGATTAAAACGACCAGACCCTTTGGACATCTAGTGGACATCATGGAGAAACAGAGCATTTATTTATTTATTAACGGGATACCACCCAATTTAATATATACACAAAGTATTACAAGTATTTTCTAGTGATACAATAATTATAAAGATATAGTAAATATGTATGAAAAGAATTGGCGATGCCGCTATATAGAAAAAAAAAAACAAATATTAAAATTATATAAAGCACATAGCAAATATAAAACACATAAAATTACAAAATTTTTTTAAACACATTCTACAGACATTTTCCGAAGCGCACAGCAACAAATCAAAGTCTATTCTATTTCCATTTAGAATGATACTACTCAATGGAGAATGCCTACCAAAGTTAGAGCGATGAAATTTAATTGCAAAATTATGAGATGTTCTCATATGCTCTTTTCTATGCTCATATTATGAGCATAGTGTCATAGTGCGGTGAAATAACAAGTTTTTATTCTGGTGTTTTCTAAATCTTTTCTTGATCTTTTTCTTTTTTTCCATTTTTTAGTCTTGTAATACTTATATGTCAGTGATGTTTATCTGCATTAAACTTTGTTTAAGTTGAAGTTTAAATTAATTGTTATATGATATATTATATTTATATTATGTCTTACCTGGGTGCTTGCCACTGGGCGGCTTCCCACTATGTTATTGTACATAAATTATACATATACTTATTGTTTGTAATGAGACATATTCCAATAAACATTGGATGTTGAAAAAAAAAAAATAATAATAAACCTTAACAAGCCTTTAAGGTCTAGGGCTGAAAAGTTTATTTTTTTATTACAAATCCTATTTACATTTATATAAAACACATTTAAAATTTCTTTAGTCTTTCCAGACATTTCTTTAGCACTTCTTTCCATTAATTTCTGTCCAATGATTTTTCTTTCTAATTCTGAATATTAATTGCTTGTAAGTCTTTATATAAGCTGTCTTTCCATCTCTTTTTTGGTCTACCTTTTCTTCTTTTTTTTATTCGCTTTCGTGATATTATAACATTTTCGGCATTATTTTCTTTCCCATTCTTTTAATATGTAATAAATATCTTATTCTCTGTGTCTTGATTATCATTGTTATATCTGTGGACGGAATATAACAAGTTTTATTTTGAAGTTACTTATGAATTTAGTTGGGTTTCAAACTACTTTCTTTTTGTTTGTAGATATGTATTAGGAATCTATTGATATGTTCTATTTAACCATCCGTTAGTCGCTAGGAAAAACTGAGCATCAAGAGTCGCTACGGTGTCAGAGACCGACAATTAAAAAAAAAATAGTTTTTAATATAAAATTCATACAAATATTTTATATTGTGTATAAGAATAACTAAAAAATGTTTTATCGTTGATTGAATAACCCAAATTTGGGTTATTCAATCAACGGTTTTATTGAAAAAAAAACAGATACAAAATGAAAAACACTAGTATAACAATATATTGTGAATATTGTTCTCAAGCTATTTTCTTGTTGCATTTTAAAGTAATTACTGTTTAAATGGGAATAAGTCACAATTAAAGGTTAAAGTAAGTTTATTGACGTTTTAATTTCCACTTCGGATATCGTTCTCAAAATACAAACATTAGTTTTTATTACGTACTAAGTAATTTTCTTGTTTTGTTCTAACATTTCACGGTGGAATAGCCTTTTTCCATCTAGTAACTTTATCTTTTTCAATAAATGCTAAGGTATTACTTCCACTTTCTTCTTCCTCATCTGTCTCATCTTGTTTCGATTCACTTCCACCATCACGTTTATTAATTTGATCGATTTCGCTTTCATTTCCCTCATCGTCAAAATAATTTTCATCGTCAGTAGGATTCATTGTCCCTAATTCCAACAAGCCGGTTGGAATCAAATTTGTTCGGCTTCAAAGGACAGCTGTAAATAAGAATTGATAAAAACTTACCAATAAAATGCAATAATAAGATGATAAATATATACCTGTTCTGCAAGTTCTGCAATAAGTAATAGCTACACCGTTAGTCGCTACGGAGTCTGGCACCGAAAATAACTATAAAACTCACACAACTGTACCCAGGAAGGTAAGAATATACACTAACACGAGTTTTGTTGATAGGAAGAGGTACAGAAAATGGCGATAGAAAAATAACAGTTATTTGTAAATCCAGAATAAATAATTCTGTCGTCGGTGTGTGAGATCGATAGCGACTAACGGAGGGTTAAGAGAAGATGAAAAATTAATTGAGAGAGAAGAGTATTGACATTCTTCTTTCACATGTAAGGGTCCACAGTTACCCGTTAATTTAGGGTTACTGTGGACTCTGACTTTGAGACTGCGGTCTGCTTGGTAAACTTCACTTTGTAGTTATTATAATGAAATGTGTAAAAGGTGGTTTAAAATAAAAGCAACATTAACACCTTAAGCGCCATTTGTATCCTATTAGATACAAACGACGTTGATCATTTTTAGTCACCTGTATCCAAACAGATACCATGGAATACTTTCACTTTAGGCTAGCTGAATTCAAAAGAATGCAGGGTTTGTATTTAATTGAATGGAGGACTTATAAAGCATGGCCGGCTGGGCCAAAATCTGTTTTTGGCCAACGATTTTTTTACAACTTGATAATTATATAACGATCAACGCCAAGAGCTTGTTAGCCAAATCTCTGACGAGGTGGAAGAAGAGCCTGATATACTCGAAAATAAAGTAAAACAGGCTATCAACAAGCTCAAATATAACAAAGCACCATGTCCAGATATGATAACAGCAGAAATGCTTAAAGCCACAGAAGAAACCGGCGTAAAGTTACTTCATCTACTCTGTAACCAAATATGGCATTCCAAACAATGGCCTGAAGACTGGACAAAATCTACAATAACGACCATACATAAAAAAGGCAGCTTCCATAAATGCGACAATTATAGAATTATCTCTCTTATATCCCATGCCAGCAAGATAATGCTACATATAATCAATGAGAGACTGAAAACATTCCTTCAAAGAGAAATTCCACAAGAGCAAACTGAATTTACCAAAGGTAGAGGCACTCGAGAACACCTGCTGAATATAAGACAGATAATCGAGAAATCTAGGGAATTCAACATCCCCCTATACATCTGTTTTATAGATTACCGTAAAGCGTTCGACAGGGTCAAGTGGAGACACTTATGACGAATACTAAAAGAAGTAGGCGTACCACAACATCTAATTACGCTTATAACTGAACTATATGAACACACTACTGGATCAGTTAAAGTACTTGACACACTTTCGAACGAGTTTCATCCAGAACGGGGTGTCAGACAAGGATGTATACTATCTCCAAAATTATTCAACATATATGGGGAGTATAGTATGCGAAGAGCACTTGAATAATGGGAAAATGGCATCTCAAGGAATGGTCATAAACTAAACAACCTACGTTTCGCAGATGACACAGCCTTTCTTGCAAATAGTCAAGCAGAACTGATAGAACTTATACGACTGATCGAAAACAAAAGTCAAATATTTGGTCTGCAATTAAACATATCAAAGACAAAGATCATGATAGTGGATAGACTACACAACAATTATCCACACATAACCACAATTGACCGGATCGAGGTTGTGAACTCATACTTATATCTGGGATCATTAATCACAAACACAGGGTCACTACAAGAAGAGATTAAACGTAGATGTGATCTAGCAAAAGTTTTAACCAGCCTGTGCTTGCTTGCAAATTTGACAGCTCTTCAGGTTCTTCGTGGTATTGAACTGCTTTTTCACAAAGAATCAATTCAGAAGTAGGTTCCCCCAGGAATCATTTTTGAGTAAACCACTTATATCTATCATCATCTTAATCTGTATTTGAGCAAGATCATCGTTTTGCGATTTGTGGAGCTGTTGGAAGACTCAAGCTGGGACAAAAAACTGATATATGGAAAATGAGTCAATAATCATAACCTTAAGTAGCTTTTATTTAAATAAAATACTATTTATGAACTCACATTGGTAACCTTCTCAGCATCTGGAACATAAAGTAACTTATGCTCTTCTTTTTTCGAAAGTTCAGACAAGCGGTCGTTCGGTAGATCGACTACATTATACATTATATCTCACGTCGCTTGATTTGATGTGTCATATAGGATTTGGCTAGTTGTTTATTTGTACTCAGTCAAAGGCTTTCTTCATAAAGTAAATTTATTATAATATAAGCGTAATATGTTATCGCATATGTTGTTATACGTTCATTAATAACGAAGATGCCGTGTAGTGCCCTTTTGGTAGTCGCCTTGTTTGGTTTTTCTATCTTAATATATTTGTTTTATCCTCTCCTTCCATTTGCCATATCGCATGTTAGGATTGGAACAGTTGTTCATTTTGTACTCAGCCAAAGTAATTTGGCTGAGTACAAAAGTCTTTGAGTCAATAAGTCAAAATTTCGTTTTGACGTTCAACAATAAAGAAGATACTGTGGTGTGCTCTTTTGGTAGTCGCCTTGTTTGGCTTTTCTATCTAAAATACAGTATTTAACTTAAATCAGTGGTAGAGGATCAGGTTTGGGCTCCTCCTACAGTTGACATTGTTTTGGGAGTACCAGGTGGTAAAGGTGGTTGTGAGGGACGTAATGGAGGAGGTGGTATTCCTGGTGGGAAAGAACTTTGTGGTGGTACAGGTGGAGGTAAGTTTGATAGTGTTGGAGGCGGTGGGGCATCATTCCTGTTATTCTGACTGGAGGAGGAGAAGGTGGAGGTGATGAGGCCTCCACCGTAAAAAGTATCATAAAGTAACTTTTCGTTTACTTTGGGTCTAAATTTCCAATAAAAATATTACCTCCTACATCCAAATTTTTCTGATGAGCCGAAGCTTTCTTTACTATTATGGACTTCCTATACAATTTTATCATGTTCATAATTTTAATACCATAATCTGCATCCTTCTCTCCCATAAATTCTACAAACCAATAGCCTTGGTGCATTGTCGTTACTCGGACTTTGGGCACATGTATATTGACTAAAGGCCCTGCTTGTACAAAGAGCTCCCATAATAGGGACTCCGAAACCTTATCATCTAGGCCTCCCACATAAATAGTGGCATCTCGATTTCTTTCTGCTATAGGTCCGTTGGCCATTGTATCCAGATATAGTGGCAGGCAACGATTGTAGGTATTTGTTTAATCGTGTCCGCCTTGATGCCAATATTGCAATTTCATGCACAGTGTGCGTGATCGTGCCATAAGAAAATGTAACCATAACAAAAGTTTCACAATTTCTTCTTATTTTACTTATTTTCGTGAACTATTTAATTGCAAAAGTATTCATATATTTATTATAAAACTTTTAGAGGGGTAGATCATTTTAAAAATAATACTTCTAAGAAGGATTTAATATATATTTTATTACACTATACACTTCCATTTAGACTAAGCCATTATTGTTTTATAAATATTTTATAACTAGTGTCAATTACCTAACTTAAATAAAAACAAGTCCATATAAAACATTTCTATCACATATCGTCACTTTACAACAATCACTGCCCCACTAAAATTTATTATCTAAAGAGATTTTAAAATGATATACTTAAATCTAAATTAGTAATAAATACTAATACTGATGGCATACTGCAAGCTTAAAACTAGAAATAATCTTTTGCGAAGAGTAAAAGGTAAATAAGAGGACATGGGATATTGGGTAGGCATAAGAGCAGTTCGGATACAAGCAATCACCTTCCGGAGTATCTGGCATCTGTTATTATGTACGTGGCTTATTAAATGTCGCAACTGTGAATATGTAACTTGCTTATTAAATGTTGTTTTGTGCATATAGGGGCTCATTAAATGTTGCACCTGTAATTAAGTGCATACCTTTAGATACAATTAAATTGGTTAGCAGGTGCCTGATGTATACTTGCCCTCATTAATTGATACGACATGCTAGCAGGTGCATTGCGTACGCATGTTTTCTTTAATTTAAATAGAGAGCACCTAATTATGCACACCTGCCCTATTATGCTCTCCCATAGTTAGTTAGTTAGGATGCGATATGGGGTATTTAAGAGGTGGTAGTTAATTAAAGCACATCAGTTTTGTTCTTAACCTTGGAGATGGTCCTCTTTACCAGGAAAAGAAGAATCACGGGCTTAATACCCCCAACGATTCTAAACTACAGTCTAAATTTTTCTGACGAGGTGATGTACTTTGATATTACCCTTGACAGGAAGTTAACATGGAACTCACACTTATATGGTAGAATTAAAAGAGCATATTGCCTATGAGCAGTCTCGATGAACGGTCGGAGGCAGCTGGGGCCTTTCACTCAGGGTGATCACCTGGGTCTACACTGTCATTAGGTCAATGCTAACTTACGGAGCTCTTGCTTGGGTACCAAAAGTACTACAGGCAGCAGCGATTAACAAACTAAACCATATTCAGCAAATGGCTTGCAGCTGCTAGGATATCGCATCAATTATTAATGGGAGGTATAGATCATGCATCTACTAACCACACTTATTGTTTCTTAATTAATGAGGTATGCCAAAAAAACAAACAGCTGAGACATTTAATAAGCCCCCATATGCACAAAACAACAGGTGTATCATTTAATAAACCAGGTAGGTACAGATAAGAACAGGTGCGACATTTATTAAGCCCCTACATGCACAAAGCAGCAGGTGCAACATTTAATAATATATATATATATATATATATATATATAGACAAGGTAGTCCAAAATTTTTTGACTAGTTTGGAAAAAATATGTAAATACTTTTTTCTTTTTGGGTGTGGTAGTCAATAAAAAATAGAGCTTTGCTAAGGCGTACTATTTATTCTGAAATCCGAGCTTTCGGTGGTTATTTGCCACCTTTATCAAGGTCTACAATGAAAATTACTGTGTTATAACATTAGGCTGATGTAATATAAAAGTTATAAAAACTTACCAGAAAGTAAGATTCATAGCATATAAAACACAACGTTAAATAGCATAATGTGATCTGAATTATTGAAGGCATTAAAAATTTTAAAAACTTTAAAATACTTAAAAATTAAAGAACATGTTACAAAGTTTAAAAAGTAAAAAATAAGACGACATGTTTGACAAAAAACAGTCGTCTTCGCAGGTTTGAATTCAGTCACATCTCACGAACAGAAAGAGGTAGTAGGAGGAACTATTGTTGTTTAAATAGTTCGGTGTAACTACAAAAAACAAACTTTCAAACTGATGTCTAACAAAATGCCGTTTGTGATTTTAAGTACTACCAACCATGTTACCAACTTAGAATTGAGAGGGAAATTTAAAAAAAGGTTTTATTATGTCAAAAAAATAAAAAGAAAATAGTATTTAGTAAGTAGGTTTGAAAAAACAAACAACCAAAACAAAATGAACATCTGAATAATAAATGAAGTTAATATGATAATTATAGCAATTAATAATGGAATTTACGAAACATGAAGCACTCTGAGATACAGAAAACCCTAGTCAAAAGTCAAAATAAAATTGTAAATTTTGCTAAGATTCTGGATCTCAGATCTTTTATTCAGGTTGTTGTTATCACTCCTGCTGATATGTACCATTTCTAAGAATGTTCTCTTAAATTTATTTTTCTCTCTGGCTAATATATTACAATGTTAAAATGTTACAATGGCAACAATGTTAAAATATTAGCCAGAGAGAAAAATAAATTTAAGAGAACATTCTTAGAAATGGTACATATCAGCAGGAGTGATAACAACAATCTGAATAAAAGATCTGAGATCCAGAATCTTAGCAAAATTTACAATTTTATTTTGACTTTTGACTAGGGTTTTCTGTATCTCAGAGTGCTTCATGTTTCGTAAATTCCATTATTAATTGCTATAATTATCATGATTAACTTCATTTATTATTCAGATGTTCATTTTGTTTTGGTTGTTTGTTTTTTCAAACCTACTTACTAAATACTATTTTCTTTTTATTTTTTGACATAATAAAACCTTTTTTTAAATTTCCCTCTCAATTCTAAGTTGGTAACATGGTTGGTAGTACTTAAAATCACAAACGGCATTTTGTTAGACATCAGTTTGAAAGTTTGTTTTTTGTAGTTACATCGAACTATTTAAACAACAATAGTTCCTCCTACTACCTCTTTCTGTTCGTGAGATGTGACTGAATTCAAACCTGCGAAGACGACTGTTTTTTGTCAAACATGTCGTCTTATTTTTTACTTTTTAAACTTTGTAACATGTTCTTTAATTTTTAAGTATTTTAAAGTTTTTAAAATTTTTAATGCCTTCAATAATTCAGATCACATTATGTTATTTAACGTTGTGTTTTATATGCTATGAATCTTACTTTCTGGTAAGTTTTTATAACTTTTATATTACATCAGCCTAATGTTATAACACAGTAATTTTCATTGTAGACCTTGATAAAGGTGGCAAATAACCACCGAAAGCTCGGATTTCAGAATAAATAGTACGCCTTAGCAAAGCTCTATTTTTTATTGACTACCACACCCAAAAAGAAAAAAGTATTTACATATATATATATATATATATATATATATATATATATATATATATATATATATATATATAGGCTCTTGAACTCCTAAGTGGAGCATAGAGCTTCAGTGAAAACGCGCCATCGGGTTCTATTTTGCGCTAAGGCCTTCACCTCATTCCAAGACTTTCCTTGTTTTCTTATCTCGTCCATGATGGATCTTCTCCAAGTTTGTACTGGGCGACCTTTTTTTCGTTTTCGTTGGGGATTCCACTCTAGGGCAGTCTTTGCAATACTGGAGTTATTTTTTCGGAGTGTGTGACCGATCCAACCCCACTTTCTGGACTTTATTTCATTTACTACCCTCTTTTGTTTGGTCAGGTGTAGTAAATCTTCGTTTCTGATGATGTTAGGCCAGAAAATACGAACAATTCTGCGTAGACATTTATTAACAAAGACCTGCAGTTTGTCTGTAAGGGTTTTTGTCGCTTTCCAGGTTTCACATCCGTAAAGTAGTACAGACATGACATTTGACTGGAATATGCGGATCTTTGTCCTCGTAGTGTAGTCTCCAGACCTCCAAACAGGGTTGAGCATGCTGAAAGCTTGTTGCGCTTTTCGTATCCTCATACGAATATCGCCTTCTGTACCTCCGCTTTCTGTTATGACACTTTCAAGATACGTAAAGTTTTCTACATTTTCAATCTACATGTTATTAATGGTGAATAGCGTGTTGTTTTTTGCATTTATTCTCATGGATTTGGTTTTACCAATATTGATTTTTAAACCTATTTTATTGGCTTCAGTGGAAAGTGTTTCCAATTGGTCAGCCACATCTTGGAACCTTTGTCCTAACAGGCAGATATCGCCGGCGTATTCTAGATCGCTTAGGCGTGTGGTTAACGTCCATTGTATCCCTCTTGTGTCAGAGTCTAGTTTGGAGAGAACATAGTCTAGAGCTATGTTAAAAAGAAACGGAGAAAGCACGCATCCCTGTCTGACTCCAGTAAGTACGTCAAATTCGTCACTGTTGATCCCATTGTGTATCACGCTGCATTTCGCTTCAGTGTACAGTAACTTTATAATGGAAATTATTTTATGCGGGATGTTTCTTAGCTCTAAAATTTTCCATATCGCATCATGAGATAAGCTGTCAAAAGCACGCTCGAAATCAACAAAAACCATGTATAGGGGTGTGTTCCATTCAACCGATTGTTCAATTATTAGCCTCACAGTATTAATGTGGTCTATGCAGGAGGATTCTGGTCTAAAGCCTACTTGATTAGCTCGAAATTCAACCTTGTTTGTTAATCTTTTAAGTATGATGGTCGTGAAGATTTTATTTATGGCGGTAAGCAAGGTTATTCCTCTCCAATTTTTGCATAGTGTGAGGTTGCCCTTTTTTGGAAGCTTAATAATGATGCCTTTTTTCCAGCCCGCTGGAATGCGGTTTGTTTCCCACACCTCTCGGATTATGGGGAGCAAAAGTTAAGCAGTTAGATGCGGATCAGTTTTAAGTATTTCGGCAGCAATATTATCGATTCCCGGAGACTTGTTATTTTTCAGAGATTTGATAGCTGTTATTATCTCTGTTTTGGAAGGGGCGTCCCAAGATATACGCAAGTCTATATTCTGTGGATTTTCGACAATT